CATGCTTTTGAATACCAAGTTTTACTCTAGTTCCATTTTATGTACCTTTTGGATATCTCCCAACATGACTTGACTATAGCAAAGGAGTATGTAGCACAAATGACATGTTGCCCCTTTCAGTCATGAAAATTAAGCATAAGTTGGTCTGCTTGGAGACTGGTTGAGAACACAGGAAAAGTACAGGAAGAACCAGAAAATCTTGAAAATATTACCAAACTAAATTGAATAAGACTATTTCTAGCACAATGTCTTATAGAAACTAAGAGAATTTTTTCAGTGGGTATTCAGAAACACTTGCCTAGTAACAATCATCTAGAATTTTATGTTCCTCCACTATTATACACATCATAATTAACATATTTATTTTCTATGAAGAATAAATGTGTGCAGTCCTAGTATGCATTCATAAAGGTTATGGTGAATGTGATCTACTTCATCAAATTAAGAAATAGATAATACAAAACTTCATTATTAACTGAGGGGGTTGTATACAAAGGTCAGTTGTGCATATATAATATACATTGTGTATTTATAAAACAGTATTTTTATAGACTTGAAATATTGATAAATGATAGAATTCATTAAAATTCCCCACATAATAACTGGTAGTTTTATAGATGAGCAAGAAATTATCTTCACTGGCTTTACTGTGTGCTATGGTCACCTTCATGAGGCATCACAGACTGTAATTCTTATCACTTAGTATATCTTCAAACAGCTCAGATTCATTTCTACAGATATCCATGGGCATTACATCTTCTACAATGGAAAGATTTTGAATAATAGATCCTTTATGATAGAAGGACTCTGTCCACTGTGAGGTGAACATGTACAGTAACATGTCTTTAAAGAATAAACAAATGGAAGTAACACAAAGACTTCTGGGCACTGAAGGGTGAAGCCATGACTTTAATAGTGTAGCATTTACCCAGTCTTTTCTGTTTAAGTCTCTGTATGGCAGCTGGCATTTTATTTTCATTGCTTAAAGTCACCTTAAGCAGTGACTATAATTTTGGTTAAAATGTCAAACAAATCTAATTGATCTACCTGACTCATTTTATTGTCTTCAGGTTTCTGAATGTTCTGATTCTGCATAACAATGGCATGTGTAGAAATTTAATCAAATGAAGACATCTATCCAAATGTTATGTCTGAATAATACATATTCAATTGAGAAAAACATTTCTAGTTACCTGCCTAACCATGAATCTGAGGTCATTCTTTGTTCCCTCACTTTTAACAAAGGGGATAGTAAGAACTCAATGCATTTCTCATTAAAATGAACAATAGAGGAGGAAAAAAGGTTTTAAATATGCACGCCAGCATGTAAGACTAACTTTTTCAATGTAAGGGGTGGTTTTTTGTAGCTGTATACAATCAGAGGAAAAATGTTTAAGCATCCCAGCATGGGTATTTCCATTTAAATCTGATTACAGTGAAATAAAACTGTAGCTATTAAAGGTTTAGAAGAACTACAAATACAAGCAGTAAAAGAAGACAGTTAGTAAATGAGGTAGTAAAACATTTCAGCAGGGCAAACAGTTTATAGCACTCAGCCTTCCTATAGCAGACTGTGCTATTCACCACAGACCCGTGCACTGCTCCCCGAACTGCACTTAAACCTGCAATTAACCTTTCACGCCTAATGAAGCTGTTTTGCTGCAAAATTAAAATATATAGTGCTGCCTGTTTTTACAGAGACTAGGAGGAGAGGATCTCAAAATGAATGACTTTTTCAGATGTTTTTGTTCAAATGCAGAATTAAAGTGCTGTTTGTATATAAATTGGGAATGCGCTTTCGAGGTGATCTCATTTGATATGCTGTATTTTATTCCTCTACTTATTAATGGTTCTGTATTATTGTAAAAAAAAAAAAAGAGAAACAATTCACACACCAGTAATTTTATGATTAGATGCTTCCTGAGAATAAACTGTTACCATTTAACTTCCATTAGGAAAGACAATAGTTCTGCTAAAGATAAGTTCATATTGCTTTCTCTGGTATTTTTCTCACTGTGGATGCAATTACCTCTTACAAAAATATACTTTCCACTTATGTATTTGACTGGGCTCACTTCTTAATGATCTATGCATATATATCCTTAAAACAAGCTAGAGATAGTTTTATCTGCATAGAACTAGGTCAGGTTATTTCTATAACATTTAGTAGAAAAACAAACTAAATTTAAATATAGGTCCGGGTCTGCAGCTAGGCTTGGATTTCCAGAAATTAGCCTAGTGAAGGTGACCTGTTGATTCTCCATGTAGGATACATACTGATTCCATTGTTCCTTTCCTCCACATTACTCAAGAGTCAGAAGCAACCAGAGATCATGTACTGATTTGGAAAATACCAGTTTGGATATTAGGTAAGATATTTAAATAGCAGCCCTCAGAGAAGGCAGGTAAATGTAATAACTTTGGAATTGAGGTAACACATATAAATCACTTTGCGATTTGCAGTTCCAACTTCAATGACTATAAATGTATTCACATTTGTTATTTAGATAAAAAACCTGTAAAATCAAGGGAATGTTTTGTTTTGGGTTTTTTTTTTCTTTTATTGAATATTTGAGTCACAGCAATTTTTTTCTGTTATATTTTGATGTAAATTCTGCTTGCTTGAAGTGTCTTTGCATACGCTTGACTTGGTAAATTCCTTTAGACTGCCACTCTGAAATAATGAATTGTTCCCCCAGTTAATTGTATTGCTTTGATAACAAGGAACTATGCTGGGGTGTAGAGAACATAATAAATGAATTTCATCAGATGATTTGTGTGACGTTTTGAAAAATGATCTTCTGGAGTGACTCAATTTTAATGGAACTCCATAAACATGCCAGTATATCCCAGTATGTACTGTTAGATTTGAAAGAAATAGTTCTTCCATTTTGTTAATTGTCATGTCAAGGGAGGTTAGTCTAAAAGCTTCAAATATATTCTAAAATATCTTATAAAAGGTAGAAAATCTTTACTAATAATTGTCCTTCTGTTTAGCATGCTCCCTAAGCCTAGATGTTAAAGATGGGTTTACATATAAGCAATCATTAAAACGTTATTAAGGTTTTATCCTTGAATTTGATAATACCAGTTACTGCTAATACTTTAAAGGTGCCTCAATGATTTCAAAAATTTAATTTGTCAAAAGTCCAATTTAAAGCATCACTAGCTCATGCCAGGAAATATCTGTGTATGTGAGAAAAAATGACTTGATTAATCTTGGCTCTTACGTATCTAGAAAAGTATCAATGATAATTGTACTTAGCATTTTACAGTGCCATGCATTTTCGAAAAGCTGTATGCACATTAATTAATTCTTGCAACTTTTTTGTGAGTTAAGAAAGGTAGTGTTACAGATGCAATAGCATAGATTTTTTTCACGATACTGGAAACCTGAACCAAATCTGACTGTACAGCATATACTAAGAAAGAAAACTGTAGCAACACTTGTAAGTGAAAAACAATTTTTGCACAGTTTCTTAGTAGAAAAGTGCCGTGACAAGAGACCACATGAAAAATATTGCAAAATTGGATTCTGTGTAATAGATAAATTGAGTTTGATATTGGCTTGAGAATAACAGCCTATTAGACATGGTGAAAAATATTTTCAAATATTTCCTTGTAGAGTAGTTGGAAATCGAGATGTATTGGGCAGCATTACCTACATCATGAGTATATGTAGATGTCATGATTTTGTTGCAGTAGAACATTTGAGTAACATGAATACTCCTAATTCATTTGATTGCAATATCACCTGCGTGAACTTAAAAACTCAGAACTGCCATGTATTAAGCACGTTCTAATCACAGGATATCTGCAGAAGTCAGTAATTTCTAGAAAGCCTGAAGTAACAAGCAAATGGAAGAATAAATTCTCAACCTACTAATTTCTTAGGTATAAAGGGGAAGCCAAACAAGGAGCAGCTGAGGTCACTTGGTCTGTTCAGTCTGGAGAAGAGACTGAAGGGAAACCTCATTGCAATTACTACTTCCTTGTGAGGAGAACAGGAGGGGCAGACATTGATCTGTTCTCTCTGGTGACCAGTTACAGGACCTGAGGGAATGGCCTGAAGTTGTGTCAGGGGCGGTTTAGGTTAGAGATTAGGAAAAGGTTAGGGTGGTTGGGCACTGAAACAGGCTCCCCAAGGAAGTGGTCACAGCACCAAGGATGCCAGAGATCAAGAAGCATCTGGACAACGCACATGGTGTGATTCTTGGGGTTGTCCTGTTCAGGGCCACGAGTTGGACTTAGTGATCCTCGTGGGTCCCTTTCAACATAGGATATTCTATGATTCCTAAGCATGCCTGTCCATGCCCTTGGTAATACCCTGTTAGGATAATAAAAGGTCATGACATATCAACAAATTAACCAGAATCTGAAAAAGAAGAGTTTTGGTGAGTTGAAAACATATAGAATTTACCCAGGCCAACATCATCATGTTTCACTGCCTTTTCAGTAGTCTGTGCTTTCTGGAAAGATATATTCTTTTTCTTTTGTTCATGGTATATACTAACCTCTGAATATTCCCCAATTAGGGAGGCAAATATATTGCACAGGCAAATATTCAAGGATACAATTTTGTTCTAACTGCAGTCTCAATTTCTCTCTTACTTTTGGATAGTTTTATCCGTTCCTAAATGCAATGCACAAACATTTAGTAAGAGAAAATCTTTGTCAGAGAGCCACTGGTCCATATAACCAAGAAAATGGTGATAAAGAGAGGTCATGCTAAGATCACACAGCAAATCAATAACAGACTGAAATAGAAGTCAGTTCTCCTGATTTCCAGTCTGGTGTCTTAACTGCACTTTTTTCCTTCCACTGTTTCTTCACCAGGTAGCCTTTCAGAAAGTGAGAACTTCTTATCTAACTCTGAAATAAAACTGATCACTTCTGGGAAAGTACAAAAACTTGGTATGAAAGGAACCATCACACTGCTCTGGAATTCTTCTCAGGAAAGCTGAGCATTAAATTTTGTTTTTCCTTTATTTATCTTACAGGTCTTGCAATTGCAAGTGCACTGATAGACATTTCACAACAGAAGCCTGCGGACTGTAAAGATAAGAATTCAGGAGTCAGAAATCGAAAACACCACCTTTCAACACGTCAAGGAACTTGTGTCTGAGATTCAAAAACTACAATTGTATATTCTGTAATGTTTTCTTTTTAAATGGCTTCCATTGAAAGCTCTACTACAGCCTCAGTTTTTTATGGAGGCAAATCTATGAATGAACATATGAGGTACTGTGCTCTGTTCTAGTCACACAGCCTGCTATACCCCAAAGCAGAACAAACTTGTGGAAGGTGTGAGTATGTTTGATGAGCTTTAATAAAAGGAGTGGATCCTGGTATCAACAAAATACTAAATAAAATACCTAGTATTCTTAATCCTGAACATATCAGAGCAGAGAAAATCCTTGAACACAACTACGAAAAACTTTACATTGTTTTGTAATGTAGAAGCAAATTGTATAATTGAAAACTGAGCAAATTCCAGAAAACTAAAGGAAATTTTTGTATAGCTTGATGTAACAACGAGAATTGTACAGTTCCTTCCTTGTAATCAGCATGAAAATTTCTTTCCAGCAAGCAGGAACTAAAAAGGATCATTTGGATTTAGATGTTCTTTCATCATTGCCTGAAATAGATAGGCAGCTTTTGAACTTAGCATAGGTGTAACCCAAGAACACCACATGTTAATATTTGAAAGATAATTCCATTAAAATAGAATAATTTGAGCATTTCATGATTGTTTTTCTTTACACTGAAAACACCTCATATACATAATCTGTGCTGCAGCAGAGTGATGGGGGGCTTTCATGTCTCTGTACCTAAGGGTTCGTCCTGAATTCAGAATGATATATTTTACAAAGAGGGTCCTTTATGCCAGCTAACTGATTAGCAAAATTAATTGAGCATGGAAAAGCTTTTTCTGCAGTAAAATTTCCTTTTTTTTTTTCTGAGACAGTCTCCAAGATTGCAAATCTAAGGAGAGTTGAACTTGCTGTTATTCAACCTGCTTCCATTTCAATATTGAAATTTGCTGGTATCTATATATTGTCCTGACCTCTAAGCAGGAGAAATGAATCCCAGTCAGCACTTTGGCCTTTGTTTTTATAATGTAGTATGGATTTTTTTCCCCCCAGATGCAGAATTTCATCTCCTTCTCACTTTCATACCCATTACATAAATTAATTAAATAAATAAATACTTAGAAATCCAAGTTGCTTCCAACAGTGGTTCTCAAATCCAACATCCAGTATGGAACCTCACACAGTCAGTACTCAACAACAAGAAGCAGATTAAAGAGTTTCCTTTCCAAAGGACATTAGTCTTTTGGGGGCTCAGTAACCACAACAGATAACCCAGCGAACAGCTTTAATGGCCCTCAGTCTTTTTATTTACTCAAAATTCATGAATATATATAAAAGAGCAAGAGAATGTTAAGGGGTAAGTAGCAGATGTGTCATATTCTCATTTACACATTACACATTGACAGCAGTATAATATGAAACTAGTAGTTTTGTACAAGGTTGTTGAAAGTATAGTTTCTCAACTCCAAATTTGCCACCATACTAGTACAGGAGAGTGATACAGAGGTATAAATGTCTCATGTAATGATAGACTTTTGGTAAATATGAAAGATATAAAATGATAATTGATGTTTACTATTATATCTGTATTTTTTATGTTCTTTTTATTTCAGGAAGATGATGACATTTTACTGTTTATAGTTGACTACATAGTTACTTGCATGCCATGGTGGTGCAGTAGCAGTAATAAAGCCCTGTTGTGAGTTGTGTTTATTTCCTAAAGCCATTCATACATCAAAGTACTCAGCTTAATTTGGATGAGGACTAAATGTAAAAAGAATTATAAAAAAGGAACTATTGTACAGTATGTAGTTATATCTTATACAGGAATATTAGGTTGCATCTAACCATCTCTATTGTTTTGATAAATTATGCACTGATGAATTATGGTATAATTAATTCTTATACTGGCATGATTGTTTCAGTATTTTCATATCTTAAAATAAGATTATTATCTTAAAAGAATGCCATCACAATCTTGTGAGTTTTATTGCCTATTCTGACCTCATATAACTTAAAACTTAAAAAATTTCTTTTTAAAACTTCTATTGGGAACTTTCAACAAGTGCTACTTATAATAGAAAAAAAATCATCATTGGAAGACAACTTTCTACCAGTTTTAAAGTTAATCTGTTCAAATGATTATAAACTGATGGAACTGGTTTATATGATGCATACACTTATGAAAAGGAAAGAACCACTTGTCTGGAATATATTACTAACCCTGTATTATCCTCAACCTAAACATTTCACATGAGAAATATACAGTGTGTGTTTTGTGTATATACTGGAAACTCCATCCACAGAAGGACCATATGGTCCTGTAGAACAGTTTTGCCTGTACTCACTCATAAAGGATTACATTCCTCTGTATCTCAACCAGAGTTTAAAATATACTTGAAATGCAGGTGTGAGTTTTAAAGGGATTAAAATATTTTATTGCAACACTGAAGATGAGCGAATAACGATCAGCCATTTTACTGTGTTTTCAGGTAAAAATGTTTTTTTATTGTACAAGAAAAGCATGTTTGTCATGGGATCATTCAGCATTTCCCTTCACTCTGAGAATTTTTTTCTAAAGTATCTTTCTTCTCCCAGGATCCCTGATTGCATGCAAATCAGTAAACTCGTATAATAATTAAATAAATAAAAATACTTACATAATGGCCACACTTAAATACAAGAAGTTTGCAAACACATCTCAAACCAAAGTTTCAGAATAACTCTTACAGCCTTCTTTTTGAAAGGTATAAGTAGCCTAAAATGTCTGATAACTACATTTTGTTAGTTGTTGGCAAGTGCAAACTTTTTAGTAATGACCACTGTATATCAGATGAGATGTTTTATGAACTGTCACATTATGATTACTTCATGAAAAGGCCATTTTTTAAAAACTCTTTTCTCCGATTTAACTTTGGAACCCTTTTCTAGAGTTAGAAAATGTTGAATGGCCTGTTTTAATGTGATTTATATTGGATGAAAAATAAATAAGTGCTGTTCTGGTAAGTAAGCCCCAGTGAAGTTCTGACTCTCAGGATTCAACCTCCACCCCCTCAATCCATGGATTCTGCTGAGGGAAGTTCAGCAGCTATGAATTACTATTCCAAATATGAGATAGACTGTCCATGGTAGCATAGGTTTACTGCTTCAGTTCCTCACTTTACTTGTATATTTATATAAAATCCTGAAACTACTTAAATCAAATTTGTGCACACATAAATAACACTTTGGAATATTTGCTTCCATTCATTGCATTCCTATGAAATGTAATGAAATGTTTGTTCACCTATTAAAAAAAAGGTTATCTGTACATTGCCACTCTTAAAATGATTTATTAAAAAAATGTCAAATTCTAGATATGTTAAGGCATGAATATACCATTAATAGGGAGCATTCAGATTCATCTGATTTGAGAATTTTCATAGCTGACTGCTCTCTTTATAGATAGAGTTTCCTCTTATTTTCTAAAATCAAAACCATTTCAACAAGTTCATATTGGGACATCAAATTTGTTATGTGAAAAATCTGAAGCAACAATTATTTTCTAAATAATCTAATGTAGAGGCTGGAATCCTGATGGTAAGAATTTTAGTTTGGGATCGCTTTAACAGATGTTCAATCTTTATGCATAATAACTTTCATAGTATTCACATAAATTATAAAATCATTATGTACCTAATTTCATTACCAATTTTTTAAAAAGCATCTGGAAATTTTCTTGACAATAAAGGAAAATTCTCTATTAAAGGTAATTAACAATCCCTCTTTTTTATAAACAAAGAGTTCCTCTTAAGAATGCTCGACATTATTGGGGAAAATTAAATAAATTAATGATTTTTTTCAGTCTCTGAAGTGCAGCATTACTTGAAAAACTGTAGTTTGCTGATATTTATTTCAGATTATCTCTAGAATAAAGTATGGAATATCTAAGGCTATTTTAGGTGCTTATAACAAATAATAGCAAGCCCACTTTGTCTGCAGGTGGCCAGAATTTCTCATGCTGTCTTCAGCCGTACTTGCTCATTAAATACTAAATAAGAAGAACAAAGCTGGGACAAACAGGCCTCACAGAATCTGGACTTGTACAACTCACGGCTTTTCCAATTTGATGCTACTTCACTTTCAGAATGAATGATTTTATTTCTATTTGACTGCCTATATGGCCACATGTGGCCATTTCTATGGCTACAGGTATTTCTGATGTAAAAAATCATAATCTCTTATATATAGTTGAAATTCTAGTGATTCTCTGAAATTTATTGTGAGGCTGAAAGGGGTCTATTATTTCCCTAGGCTTGGTCATGTATGTTGGGGCTCGTTCATGTCTTGGTGCAAATCATCACCTTGCACCTCTTGATATGTTAATGGGTAGCAATGATGGAAAAACCAAACAACCATTTTTAAAGCACACAGGAGGCACATGTGTTTATGTGTGTGTGTGTGTGTGCATGTGTGCATATATAAATGTATATATATATATGATTATGTAATTGGTTTCACAGCTGATCTAAATTAGAACATTTTCTCAGTTTCCTCACATATTCTCACATATTATATTGAATAGTATGAAGACTTTAACTGAATCAGTGACTGTTTATGCCTATAATAACAGCCATTTCAACAGAAATAAAATCTTAAATGTATTTGTCCTTCTCAGTGAGGATATAGAATTTTGCTTGAAATACTGTAAAGAAAATGTTATCTATTATCAATTGTTATTATTGATTTGGTATCAGTATTTTCAGCATGTCCAAGACTGAGTGTAGGAAGAGAGGCAAGTGTCTCCCATTCTTTTGTATCTTTTCTTTTTTAATATATTTTCCTATAACAGTTTTTACATGCTACGGCCAGAGTTAATAATACAGAAAGAATATGAATGTTGACAGAACTGCTACTCAACAATAACTGTTTATCTTTCTGTGATATCATCAAAGCAATGCTTGTCTATATTATTTTCCAATTTTACCAAATGCTGTTTTCTAAAAGACCTTTCATTAAACAAGAAGCAAGAAAAAGTAAGATGGAGCTCTTCAAGACCTAGAAGATATCACAAACATCTTATTCTACTGAAGGTCTGAGTCTTTTTAGCATTTATTCTCAGATCAGTAATTATCAAAAGTCATTGTTATTATATGATTTTAGGGATTAACATGAAGCACAGTTAATTTTAACCTTATTTTTTCATGCAAAGTCCTGAAGTTATTTTATGACATTCAGTTATAAAATATACTTTAGAAAAAAGAAACACAAATTTGAACATAATGTTTAAGATAACCAGTATGGATGTTCTTATGGAAGAACTGTACACAAATTGTCTGTGCTGTAATGCTTTCTCTCAGACATGAAATCTGTTAATACTCCTGCAAGTCTCCTCTTCCCCATCTTCCCAAAGCACAAATGGTCAGGTATAAAAATCTTTTAAATGTATTAATACAGGTGATTTTTTTTTCTGATTCTAAATAGGTGGTTAGAATATGGCAAAAAAGTTTTCTAACTGAGTACTTAGGAATGATAAAATTAACCTTACTAATGACATGGGAATATTTAAGACTAATTAATTAATGTTTAGAGAGTACTCAGAGCTCTATACTGATCTAAAAATAACAGTCACTGTAAAAGTGTATATTTTAGTTATCAGGTTATTTAGTATCAGATTCATTTCATAGTGCTAGATGTTAGTTTTTTAAACCACAACTTGAGACATAATTAAAAAAAAATATTTTCTGGCAGATATTCATAGTCTGTGGCTCTTCACACAATAGCGGTCACAGAATTTGCTCTTGATTTTTCTTATCAGTGTAATTTTCCTGTTGTTGGTAAATATTTTACTAATCTGTTCCATTTATTGATATTTTTGATTAATCAGGCTTCTTAGATGTCAGATTTTATATTATTTCTTCTTTGTTTTTCTTCTTCAAATACCCATTTCTATACAATAACTTCTGCTTCATTCCCAGTTGGTCAGACCATAGGATCCCAAAGGTGCTCCACTATTTTGTTCACTGTAGTCTGAAAATGTCAGTGATTGCATCATTTTAACCATGTCGAAGAATATCAGGGATGATTCATTTCCATGCCTTAATCCCTCATTTGTATTAAATGGGACAGAGATTTTACACCTTCTTCATGCTTTATCTTCTTCATTGCAAATTGTGACTATGCCTGTTAAAAAATGTTTTATGGAGTTATAAGTTCCTCCAGTGTATCTCAAAGGCCACGATACAGCATTGTAAGATTTCTTAGTCTAGAAGTGTGTGTATTCATTCTAATTATAGTATTATATCTAATTAAATATATCATGAAAATATTTAATATTTGGTAGAACTCTTTTCCAGAATCTCCATTGACATTATTGAAATGTTCCTGCTTTATAAAAAATAAACAAATAAAACAAGCAAACTATAAACAAACAAAACCAAGAAAAACCACAAACAACATAAACAACCCCCCCCCCAAAAAATGTAAAGCCTTCTGAGAAAGCTTTCTAGACTTTCAGAAAAAAGACAGTCACTCACTGTACTGTCTTTTACATTGCATTTTTTAAAATCACCTTCCCTTGCTCTTAAAATTTTTCCTATATCAAAAGTCAACAGAATTACTCTGTACAGCCTTTGGCTTCCTTTACCTCTTTCTGCTTTTAATAATTTAACGGCAACCCTGTCAACACATGGTGCCAATTTCTTCCCGAAGGGTTGTAATTGACTCTTGGATCTCTTCAGAGCTGAGCTCCACAAACAACTCAGATCAATCCCTCTGTAACTTCCTTCTTTAAGAACAAAGTATTTTCATTGTTCAGCAGATTACTAAAGAATTATATTCTTTCCTCCAGGTGAAGATTCTGCTTTCTTCTCAGGCATTAACATTCCGCCTCTGCCCCATCCTCTCCACCATGCCCTTTAAATATTGTCTTTTATAGTGGCTTTCTCTCCTGGCATTGTCTTTTGGTTCAATCTCATCATGATCCCGATCCAGGGTCTGAAAGCACACGCGTCCTTGCCACATGCTGATCCTGAATCCTTTCCAGATTCTGTTATCTTTCCTCTTGGAATTATGCTGTTGGTTCCTTCAGCAGTTCTCCTGCGATATCATCTTACACTTAGTATCAGCATCATCTGCACACTTCAAATAGAAATATTCCCAAGGTTCAAACCTGTTCTTAGTTGTTGCTCAGCGTTACTTTATGTCTCGGAATTTGTGAGTTTTATTTGTAGCATATATGTTTAATTTGTCTCTGCTGGGACAAGGCTATTTCCTGTACAGACCTTTAAAGTCTTAACATCCAACCCACTCCCCTGCACAGCATTTTGGCTTCTCTTGTACCATATGCACTCAAAACATTCCATGACCTCAGGGTCCACCCTTTCCTTAGACCTCCGTAGTTTTATCTGCTTTCTCAAAATTTATTCAAAGTGTTTT